CCCATGAGCTTTGAAATCCACTTGTGCTGGTCTGGCATTTTAACCCTTTGGTCTGTAAGAAATTGCAAGCTTCGCTGGTCCGTCTTGATGATAAATTTGTGGCCAATGAGATAATGGCTCCATTTACGAATGGCAAATACAATAGCCATAAGTTCCCGTTCGTAGGCTAACCTAAGCCTAGATTGAAGTGAGAAAGCCTTACTGATGAAGGCAATAGGCCTAGCATTCTGTACTAAAATAGCACCCATTCTAGCCCCTGAAGCATCTGTCTGAATCTCAAAGGGAAGCTCAAAATTGGGTATTGTCAATACGGGCACAGTGGTCATAGCAGTCTTCATATTGTTAAATGCCCCTTGAGCTTCATCACCCCAGCTAAAGGAATATTTTTTTAACAATTGGGTGAGTGGTTGAGCTATGGCACCATAACCTTTCACAAAATATCGATAATACCCCGTAAGCCCTAAGAACCCTCTCAAACTTTTCACACTGTGCGGTATAGGCCAAGAAATCATCGCTTCGATCTTTTGCGGGTCACCCTCCACCCCCTTGGCTGAGATTAAGTGACCCAGATATTCTAACCTATATTGAGCAAAAAGGCATTTCTTTTGGTTGACCACCAGAGCATTATCTTGCAAAATCTGGAAAGCATGTCACAAATGGTGAATGTGGGTATTCATGTCAAGGTTGTAGATGAGGAGATCGTTTAAAAAAAAAAAAAAAAACCAGAATGAACTTCCGTAACAAAGGCTGAAAAATTGTATTCATAAGGGCCTGGAAAGTGGATGGTGCATTCGTTAACCCGAAAGACATCACCAAGAACTCATAATGGCCTTTGTGGGTGCGAAAGGCTGTCTTTGGAATGTCCTCCTCTTTAACTCAAATTTGATGATACCCAGACTTTAAATCTACCTTGGAAAAGACTGTAGCCGCTGCTAGCTCATCCAACAACTCTTCAATGGATGGAATAGGGAACTTGTTGGGTATGGTAATGCTATTTAAGGCTCTAAAGTCAACATAGACTCGCCAACTCCCATCTTTTTTCTTGACTAACAACACGGAACTGGCGTAAGGGCTTGTGCTAGGTTGGATAATCCCTGCATCCATCATTTCCCCAACTAATTTCTCAATCTCATTCTTTTAGAGGTAAGGGTATGGGTTGGCTCCTGGTTGAAGAGTGATGGCATGGTCAAGTTTTCTGCGAGGAGGGAGTCTACTAGTTTGGTAAAAAACTTGGGGCGAAATCAGTCAACACCTTGGCCACCACAGGTTCCAATTTTCCTTCTTCCTAACTATCCCTGACCTCAATTGAACTGCATTCCACCAAGTATCCATCCCCCTCCATTGGCAACATCCTGAGTAAGGTTTTTAGAGACACTATTGTTTTAACAAGTGAAGGGTCAGCCTTGAGTACCACCTGTTTCCCTTCCTTAGCAAACGCCATAGTCAACTTGCCCCAATTGGAATAAACATCCCCCAAGGTGCTTAGCCAAGTAATTCCTAGGACCACATCGACCCCACCCTATTGAAATGGAAAAAAATCTTGTTGAACTTCCATCCCTTGCATTTCTAACTTCACATCTCGACAGATCCCTTCACTCTTGATTTTGAAACCATTCCCCACCATGACTCTGAAAGACTTAGTTCCATCAATCGGAATTTCCAGTTTTTGCACAAAGCATGTGAGATAAAATTGTGTGAGACTCTGCTATCCATTAACACAACCACCTCCTCACTCCCAATCTGCCCCCGAAGCTTCATGGTTCGATCTGATGTAATGCCAACAATGGAATTCATGGATAGAGATAGAGGATTACCTTCCGCAAAATTTTTTGTCTTTGGTTCACTCAAGGGTTCGCCTCTGTCAGGTTCATCATCATCCAACAATAAAAAAACCTGGAGAGATTGACTCTTACACTGGTGATTAGGCCCGAATTTCTTGTCACACCGGAAGCACGATCCCCTTTCTCATTTATATTGCAAATCTGCCTCCATTAGACGCCGAAATCTATCATTTTGGAGTGGGTTTGTTGCTCTTTCCATCGCTTTTTCCCTCCTGTCCCACACTCGATTGTTCTGTCCTGTTTCAATGGGTTTGATTGCCATATTCCACCCATTTTGTTGTCCCAGATCTGGAGTATAAAGACCCGATTGTAACTCTCGGGTTTGCCCATTTGGTTTTTGGAAAATCTGGGCTTAGTTTTGTCTAAGACCCAATTCTTTTCTTCTATTCGATGGGCCTAGTCAATAAGCTCAAACAAATTGTTGGATTTACTCACCCTTAGTTCAGCCCGTAACTCTTCTCTAAGGCCATTTGCAAAGATGCCCATTACGAGTTCTTCTTCTAACTCACGCAGAGGGGCTGATAATTCTTCAAACTGTTCACGATACTCAGTCACAGTCCCAATTTGCCTCAACGCCACCAGTGTTTCATAAGCAGACCCCTTATACGATGGTTTGAATCTTTCGACTATCGCCGATTTGAAGGAGGTCCAAGAAGTTATTGGTGATCGGGATTCGACCCACTGATACCAGTTTAAGGCTCGACCCTCCATACACACCGCCGCTGCTTGCACTTTCTCTTCTTCCCCATATTGATTGACTGTAAAGTACCCATCAGCTCTGAAGGTCCATCCAAAGGGATCATCTCCGTTAAATATTGACAACTCCAGTTTGCTAATTCTCTTGTGCTCCTTCTCATTATCACCACTATGTTTTCGTTCATGTTCCTTGTCTTGGCTAGAATTTTGATTTTCTGACTTCTGATTCTCTGACGACGAGGTTGATTTCTCCTTATCCCCATATCGTTTCTCATCCCTTTCTTCCTTCATACGCATTAATTCGCGCATCTCCATTAAATACTCTCTAACACTTGCCAAGTCAGTTTTCATCGTGTCCATGCTTTCCTTCACTGTTTTCATTTCCTTTTCAATGTTTTCCATTATGTTCTCCATCTTGGGCTTGACCATTCCCTAACCTTGCTCTGATACCAATTTGATGAGTACACAACCCCAAATGCTTAATAAATTGTTATTTGTTAGGACTCAGCAACCATAAACGTAACTAGAAAAGTAAACAGGTATTGAATTGAAAGGATAACCAAACACTAAAAGCAAGAAATAACAAGGACAAAAAATAAAAAGGGTGATTAGCACTTCGAGGGTCTAGCGGCCTCCATAGTTGATTCTAGATTTCATGATATCACTAGCCAGCTATTTCTCCCCCTTATATACAATTGAAATCACACTCTCCGCACTCTCTTTCGTGGAGATTCTTCCTAACTAATTTCTAACTTGAATTTCCCTAATTGCCCATTCCATCTGAATTTCCCAAGTTGCCCTTTTCGTTCTTTTTCTTGTACAACATAGTTATAGGAGGTCCATCAAAGTGTCACATAAAATGAGGGCCTACATGACATTTATGTGACATTAAATTATGTGATTTTCAATGTCATGTGGCATGCCATGCGACGTGTCATGTCAGTTTATACAAACTTTCTTTGTACAAATAGTTTTATCTTTGTGTAAACACCTTTAAGCCAATACCCAAAGCCAAAATGCAACCTTTAAACAATTAGTGATGATCTCAATAGACTTAACCCTAACTAATGGAAACAAAACTTTATTTCTTCACTTTTAATCTTCGTATAAGCAATTACATTTCCGCAACAATCCCTTTAATATTTAGTGATAAAGGATTAAATTACATATTTCTGTAATTTAATCCTATGCTGATGACTACAAGTGACCTTCTAGGAAGCTTCCTTGAGCTAGCTACAAACCAAATCTACAATATCTGAATTTAGTTTCAATTTTTTCTCTTTTATTTCTTAAAGGAGCACAAAATATTAAAGTATGCTACGAAGCTTCCTTCAAATGACAAATTCTTACTACCAAAGCTATACATAACACGCATAGTATTCCTACACAAACAACACACCAACCTTGCAAAATGTGGCATTTATCTTTCTTCTTCCTCTTCTTCTTCATTCTAACTTCTCCAAATTACAAAACCTTTACTTCAACTGCTACATCACTCGATATACTTGACCAAACTTGTAGAACATGTGCTGATAGATCCATCGTCTTTAGCTACAATGTATGTTTAACTTCTCTCCAAACAATCCCAGTTTGTCATGCCACTAATCTTCAGGGACTAGCATTGATTGCCATGGAACTAGCTCTAGAGAATGCAACTACTTCAATTTCAACCATAAATAAGCTGTTGACAAGCGGAACTTTGGACCCTTTTGCGCTAGCTTGCTTAGAGGATTGCTTGAAACTGTATTCAAGTGCGGTTGTCACACTGATAGATGCTACTGGAGCTTTTTTGACCGGGGAATATGGTATAGCCAATGTGTGGCTGACTGCAGTTATGGAAGCGTCAACGACATGCGAAGAAGGATTCTCAGAAAGGGAAGAGATGGAGTGTCCTCTGAAAAAAGAGAATTATAATCTCTTTCAGTTATGTGATATTGCATTATGCATCATCAACTTGCTTTCTCTACATGTAAATTCTTAACTAAGTGGTATTTGCACTTATTTGTGTATTGTGTAAGGTAATGCAGCCATGATAGTCCAGGAAACAAAGGAGGACTTATTATTAGAGAACATAAGCTTTCAAACCCAACCAAATAAAGCAATGTCAGTTACATCCTATCAGTATTTTGTTTATGGTTATTCACTGCTATTTGTAACTTTGACCAAATTATTTCTTAGTCCAATTCCCAGCTCCGTTATATATTAGCAACTGCTTTTGTTTTAACATTGATAGACAACTGAAGTCACTGTAGACAACAAAAAATTAATAATACTGTAGTTTCATTCTGGGGAATACAAAGCATCAGGACGATTTTATCTTCCGATGCTATAACCTTTGCAATTATTGAGACAGCAGAGGAGCAAATTCAATTACAAATCATCGAATTTTACACATTTAAATTTGGAATTGAAAGATTGAATCTCTGCAAAACATGAGGAAGCAGGAAAACTAAGGCTGAAATTTGAAGTTTAAAGACAAACATGTTTTCAATTATATTAGGCATCAACAACTCTTTAATTCCGCAGACTTTGTATTTTCACGCTGGTAAAAATTGAGCAGAGTCGAACTTCCCCAAAAATGTATCGGTTCAGATTCACTAATCTGAATATACAATCTAAATGGGCGGGAGCCTAATAATTTTCATCTCACCATCCCAAAAAGCTTAGCAAGGCTTTGTATCAAAAGGACGAAAGAAGTTCACAAAATTGCAGGTTGAAACTATTCATCCCCCAAAACTTTTCTTGTGAAATATGAGTTAAATAACTGGGAACTGCAGCATTTCAATTGAATCTTTTTAAACGTGAGGAATATATACTCTTTTTACAAATATTATACAAACAGATTCTGTGGCTCCTTTTAACCTTCTCTTCTTTTCGATTAGAAAACTTCCTCTAAGGTAGTAAGTGTTTCATTAATTTTGTAAAGAATACATTTGATTCACCGTTGCTTCCCCTAACCAATACAATCCCAAGACCAGCAAAATTTCACTCTTCAAGCAGAGTTAAAAGCAGTAATCTTACATTCCAGCAGCATGAAGTCCTTCACTTTCTTCCACTTCTTTTGTCTTGTTATCAGAGCTGTCATGATTCAAGGCCAATAACAATTTCTGATCTTTGTCCACATTGCTGATACTACTCTTTACCAGGGAAAGCTGATCCATCGCAATAGCATTTCTTTTGTAGTTCCAAACAAGCATTGAAATGTAATCCTGGGGCGAAACAAGACCTTGTTCTCTAATGCAACTTCGTTGCTCTTCCACAGTTTTTGGATCATCAAGCTTTGTATACTCAAGCAATGCTTTCTCATGGCCAGGTCTCCAGTTGCTTGGGAAGGGTGAATAGTCGGCCTCAGGTACAAGGGACATTCTAGTATACAAAAGTCCATCAATTGATTCGACAAGACCCATTCTCAGCAAATTCTGATAATCAGGTGACTGTCCTTTCTTCTCTTTCAGAGGACGACTCAGATTCCGAGAACCAATTGTATAAACCTTTGCCCGTGAACGCAGCTTGTATTTTGCGGCATAAAGCTTTGCAAGTGAACCCCTTATGATGTAGGAACAAAAACTCACAATTTTCTTCCGATTGTCTGCATATCTATACCATTCAGCCATCGTTGCCAAGAATTTGTTCATTTGTGCATTTGTGTGAGCTTGAGTGGCATGAAACATTCTGAAACATGGCTGTGGATCTGGATCCCGATCACCCTTAAGAAAGTTTAACTTCCTAAATTGTTTGATGCACTGTTTCAAACTAGCAGTGACAGACAAAAGAGTGCCCACACCTTTCTCGCTAATAATCCTCCCTCCAGTTGCTGTGTAGCGAAGGGTAGGATAAACAACTCTCCGACACAGCACATGGTCAAGAAACATTATACCCTTTGTTATGTGCTCAATAGGGAGGCTTTCATTGTCAAGCTTGAGCATGTATCTCTGATCAACAAACTCAATTAACTGCTTTCTCAATGTTGCTGCATCGGCCCTTGGCCCACGGACACCAATCAAAATATGACCTCCATATCGTACATAATCCATCTTCCTGGTCTTATCTGGCCCACTAGTTGGCACAAACTCTGGCCAAGATGTGTTTCCCTGTTCAGCTTCCCCTTCCGGGGTATTCCATATCACATCAGTCTTCGAAGGTCGATAAAACTCCTTAATCTTTCCCTCCATCCAACGGTCCAATTCATCAAGACATATATTAGCCAAAAGGGGGCTAAGAATTCCACAGTGCCCCCATGAAGGAAGCTTCTCTGCCTCTTCAGGAGCAAACCCAAAAAAGGCCTCTAACCAATAAGGGTCTGGCTTTGGCTCATCCTCTGCCAACACTTTCTTCTTCTGATTCTTTCTCTTCTTCTTTTTCTTCTTCTCTCCCTCATCAACCTGGCTCGTGATAACTGGTGTAACCAAAGCCAATTTCACCAAATCAATCACCTTCTTATCTCTCACATCCCTCATTAAAGCACTTATCACCAATCCCACCTTCATTCCATCCAAAACCGTACTCAAATCTCCTTTAATATACCACAAATACCCTGCAAAATTCCTCCTAATCACTCTCAACACTGTGTGCGCATTTCTCCCAGGCCTAAAAGCAAATGACTTTTGTGAAAATCTAGCCTCATATATCGGCTCTAAAATCATAAGCAAGACCTCCTGAACTATCTTATCTTGAAATGGGGCGGGTTGTGTTGTCGTCAATATTGCCTTAATCTTCCTCTTGGATAAAGATTCATATTCAGTCTTATCTTTAGGCGATTTAATGAAAAACTGTAACCTAGCACCCCATTTAAACCTATTATCAAGAACAGCATTCCTCAACCCCAACAAATCCTCTAATGCTGATTTCTGTACAGCACTACGAGGCATATACGCCCCCATCTCATCAGCACATACTTTTTGATAAGCTAATACCCACAACTCGAATCTACGGAGATAGGAGGTTAAATTGGTAACTATCCTATCAGGTTCCCGGAAATTCTCAATCCACATCTGCGAACAAACTGAGACGCCGTCTTCTTTCATCAGGTTTAAAGGGTCATCGGGATCCGATGTACGCCGTTGCACAGGAGAAAATGAAAGAAGGCGAAAAAATGAGAAACCATTTGGCCTAGGGTTTAGTGCGTTTGGTTGGTGACAGACAATAGAAATAGTATTGGAATTTGTGAGAATGTGATGAGTAAAAATGGTGAGGCGACGATACATGAGGAAATTTGGTGAAACTAATCAATCAATTTTTTTCTGGGTTTTCAATTAGATGAGATTCTATAATTACACACTGTATACCGTGTTGCATATTCAAGAACAAAGAGCACTTACTTGATATGAAATCGTTAGGTGAGATTTTAATCTTCCCTTTTGCGCTCTGAGCTCAGCTTGATGACTGGTTTTCAGAAAACCATTGCTAAAACCCTGGTCTTCTGATTATAATTATTAATATTTATTTTCCAAGAAAAACCCTGGGAAACAGCCCAAACTCTTTGTTCTTCTGATTCTCGGATATTGTCTTGTGCCCTTCATCTTTGTTGTAATTATGTTTGTGCCCATGACTTCATTGTTTTTGTTTTTGTTTTACTCCAAAAAATTAAATAAGCATGATGTTAACCAGAGAGCCTACCAAGATGATCAAACCCAAATGTTAAACCTTTTGTAAAATTTAGAAGTTAAATTGGGTTAGGTCAAAGGCAAAAATAAATGTTTTTATTTAGACATAATCTAATTTTGTTTTCTAAAAAACGAATAATGTGCATCTAATTAAACCTAATATTTACTTAATCAATTGTGTCAACAAGTAATGTTATGCCCATAACCTATTCTCATAAACTTCTTTCTCTTTCGAACCCGACGTGATAATTGAGTTGACATTATTACATCAGCTCCACCACACCCAAAACACAAAACGATTTTGATTAGACCAAATAAACGATCGTTCCTTAATAAACGATTGTTCCTTCATAGAGAACGATTGTTCCTTATGAAGGAATGATCGTTTCTCGCAGAAGGTCATTTCTTATGATGAAACAATCATTTTATGATGAAACAATCATTCATTCATAAGGAACAGTTGATCCTTTATAAAGAATGAACGTTAGTTTCTCGTAGTACCTTTAATGTGATGGGAGTTGATATGATTATGTCAATCAATTGACAAGTTAAGATTGTTAGAGAAAATTGTGAGATTGAATTGTACACGTAGCATTTTTCTTGTGTCAACTCTCACTCGTGTGGCGCCAATAAATCAGATTGAATAAGGATAATAATTATTTTCAATCTCTTTTTTGAGTTTATTCAGATTTTGTTAAAAAAAAAAAACTCAAAATTTTTAAAAATTACAAAAATGAAATAGGATATTGGGCTGGTACGGTCCGGGCCGTTCCNGTTGTAATTATGTCTGTGTCCCATGACTTCATTGTTTTTGTTTTTCTTTTACTCCAAAAAAATTAAATAAGCATGATGTTAACCAGAGAGCCTACCAATTAGACCTGGCAAACGGGCGGGTATGGTCCGATTAGCAACGGGTCGCGAGAAAAAAATCTGACGGGTTGACATTTTCATGATCCGTACCAGCTCGTGCGGGTACGAGTCACCCACAGGTCACCCATGAAAAATGCAACCTTTCATATTTTTCACTGTTTTTCCATATTTTTGTTATTTTTTACTGCTTTTTTATTCAAAATTTCAAATTGCATACTAAATTATATTAATTTAAAAACTTCATATAAAATTCATTTATTAAACTTATTAGTTATTAACTTATTATATTAAATAAATGGATTAAATTAAATTTGATTAGATTTCACCAAACATTATTAATTCAATATTTATATTTTTCATATTTATATCAAACTCCACCATATAGATAATAGAATTAATAAACACTAAACATACATAGTAATTACTAATTAGTAAACACTAAACATATAAAATTGTTTAACATTCAACATACATAACATAGTAAACACTAAATAATTAAACATATATAATTGTTTAACCAAACACACTAAACAAACAAAGCCGCCCTTGATTATGCAATCTCCTTCCTCGACACTTGACTTAATGGCACAAGCAACTGAACATCATCAATTTCATGATTTCATCTTCTAGAATTAACAAAATATAAATTAACTATCGTAATATATTAACAAACAAAAATATTAAAACATATGAAATATAAGTTAAAATGTTACCTTTAACTTCATATCCAGAAATCCATGTCCTGGTGCATATCAAAGACTCTACATTCTTCGGTAAAAGTGAATTTCGATATTTACTGAGCACATTGCTACCAATACTGAAACTGGACTCCGAAGCAACAGTCGTTATTGGTATACTCGTCACATCACGAGCCATCATCGAAAGTATCGGGTATCGATCACTATTTTTCTTCCAATGGTCCAGGATATCCAAATTGCAAAATTTGATGCGATCAAACCTTGCCTCTCCCAAATAAGTATCCAATTCGGACTTCTTAGCAACACTAAAGTCACTCTTGAGTAGTCAAATTCCTGCACCATTTAAATATTTAAATTTAATAAAGCAAAATTATAAAATAAAGAAAACCTTATTAATTACAAGAATGTAAAAATATTTAGGGAATATTGACTTACACAAATATCATCTCCAATGATATTAGGATTACTAGGTTGTACGCAAGGATCGTTGGGAACCTCATTGCCACTTAGACCCTCATAAGCAACAAAATGCCTATACAGCTCCTGCTTGACCAACTCCAACTTTCTTATTGCAACTACTGGGCTCAAACTTGAAACGTGGGTCCAGAATTGCTGCAATTACTAACACAACAGTATAAGAATCCCAATATTTGTCAAATTTTTCTTTCATTTGACTTGTCATGGTACTAAGAACTTCATCCTCATTTTCCATCTCTTCGTATAAACGCACTTGAATTCTCCACACATTTTTGAGATACAAGTTTGCTGTTAGGTACTGGGAACCCGAAAAAAGAGTAGTGATCTCATAAAATGGTTGCAAGAACTTGCAAATCCTCACCCCCTATCCCATTCTTCATCTGAAGCCCACTTTATAATTGGGGATCTATCAGTGCCAAATGACCAAACCACACGATGGTATATTACGCACTTTCATACATTAAATAGTGGAATTCCCATCTGTGGGAACTCATTCGCCTACCTTTTGAGCTTATCACACCATATTTTTTTAACACTTCTTCAAACTTGATTCTCTTAGCCTCCTTCCTTTAACATATTTCACACTTACGAATTTTTATGCAAGACCACGCACTCACCTTAACCCTTCTTGAACCGTAGTGAGGGACATATCAGATATTGTGCACCAAACGCCTACATGTGTCACATGCAAGACAAGAAAATGAGAACCATCAGCGGGGCTCCCAAAATATAAGGGAGCAAAGTTTTATGTGCCGAGGACAAACAATAGATTGACGCGGATCCTTAACATAGATAGTCTCTTTCTATCTTACCTCATTAGATCTCTGAATATTACAATGGGCTACTTGCAATTAGTCCATGTAAGAGAGGAAACTTTCGTTTTCACACTACTACCCCATATCTAATGGTCGTCTAAGAACATCATACAGCTAGTGTCTTGAACAATAATGAGCCCCGAGTGTGTGGAGGTGGAACATGCAACACTATATCGAGAATTAACTGTTGTACCTGCGTCATCTTCTCCTACTGAACAGGAAAGGGTGAGAAGGGGGTGTGATGGGAGACCTGAGTGGTACAAGAGACAGAAAGAAATGAGCGAAACCGAGAAAGGTGTCAAAACAGGGGTGAGGAAGGAGGGGTAATCAGTAGGGCAACTCCAAACCCAAGGGAGGTAAATAGGCAGTAGGCCTAAAAAGAGCATTGTGATAAATGTCGTAAATTGGGGAGATAGGCACGTAAAATCCCTGCAGGGTCATACACAACTCAAGCTTGTGTTAAATCAAATTACCCCCTTTCCTTCGTCGGCGCGTTGTAGGATATATCTTTATGGCAATCACGCCTTATAGACAGAATTGGGTGGTAAGTCGGACTGAGTGGGTAGTATGTACAACAAATTAAGCATGTACATTGGGTGTCAAAGTCATTCATGGTACAAAAGATCGAGTCTGCAATTACAGGGGATCCGGTGGCATAAGGCTCAACTGAGTTATGAAGATGAATGGGGTAATAATAATGGTGAGGTGGGGGTGGGGGTTTTGGTGTCACCATCGCGTAGATATGGCCAGTATTTCTCACGTAAACTACTATATAACATTTGAGAGACTATACTAATAATAACAAACGTCTGCGAAATTGTAGTAAATCACTGAGAAAAAGAAGGGGAGGGGGGGGAGGGGAAAGGGAGGGGGACAACAGTGTGAGAAGAGAAGAGGGGGGACGGCATCCATCATCATTTTGATCTAAACCATACTAGTGTAATGAGTACAGTGTATAATGATAACCTCCACTATGCGACCGGTCAAATATTTCATTTGCGTCCGGACATGGACTAGAAGCTACACCATTTGCAATAAGACACAAATGATGCGGCCGAAAGATAAATGAAACACGTGTGTGCCCTTGACCGTCCTCCATGTGTTCTTTCTACGAGTAATTTGTAAATTGACCCCAACCACTGTAAATTTACGGGAATACTTTATAGACACATGCAATATGTTTAACCGGTCTATGAGTATACGCAAGAATTGCTCCTAAAACGACCTGACTTACTACCCATGCTTTACCGTAAAAATCTGTAGACGCCGATCCTATCCATATACCATAGTTGAAACAATTCTAATTGACAAAGACTACAGATAAAAAAATAGTTACATTATAATAATATTAACCATATTCATAATTCATAACAATTCATCCAAAAAAAAAATAAAACACTACCCATATATTTTACAAAAGCAACCAGCCCTACTAAATGACTGGATTTTCCAGCTCAACAATCAACACCCCTCAACTCCAATAAGTAAAACCAATCATAATTCATCAAAAAAAAAAAAAAAAAAATTTATAATGTGGTATATGCTTTGAAATTGTGAATCATCATTATTTGAGTCAAAAGAAAATAAATATTTGAGCAAGGGCCAATATTAGGGGCCAAAATTTATTTTCAAAACTTTTTAAGCCTCCCTCCGTCACGTTTTTAATAGTCAATTTTCAACTTCCTAATTGGCTGGTGTGTGTTTTTTTTTAAAAAAAAAAAAAAAAATTAATAACGAGTTTTGTCTTCTCTAGTTTTAATTCAATTGAATCATGTTAATTGGAAAAAAATAAAAGTTACGGACATGAAAGACTCCCTAGTGTACAACAACTCAAGTTACTCAACAAGTTAACAATGGGATATCCACCCCGATTCCATGCTTTATAACTTTAATAACAAATTGGATTCTATTAAAAACACCCTACGCTAC